AAGAATTATAAATTCCATTCTATATATATTTTATTCTATTCTATTCTAATTAGATTGGGAATAAGCGCGTAATATTTTACGTGTTGCGAAGTCACTCAAGAATATCGGAGAAATAACAATAATAAAAACTATTATTTCGAAATAACAATAATAAAAACTATTGTAATTTGAATTTTCAATTCAAAAAACTCACTTGTAAAAGTTTACAAGTGAATTCGTTACATGTGTATACATATATATATATACATGTATAAGTTCTCACTCAACACCTTGAGAACGGCTCGTAAGGCCTTATATTCATTCATTGGAATAAAAACTATTTTTGATATTTGATGCTTTCGCGGTGTGTAGTATTAACATACAAAGATGTTTTTTCGGGTTTTAACCGCGTTAGTGTCATTTTTATACCGACGCGTCGGTATAAAAATGACACTAACGCGGTTAAAACCCGAAAAAACATCTTTGTATGTTAAACACTATTTTTTTATCCGTAAAGAAAAAATCATACTTGCAATGCTCAAAAGTACTGGAATTTTATTCATCTACTGTATATGTGATTATTATAATTATTATATAAAAAATAAAGTTTTATTGCTTTAAGAATCACATGAATATAAGTAAAACATACTGAGATATTTTTTCCTTGAATTCTTTTTTAGATAAATTACGTGACAATTCTATCAGATACTCGGGATCAATCGGACATGTGTAAAAACATTCATCAATATTTTTCATATGAGTGTTTGAATATAAGGTAGATGTATATAGGAATGCCTGGAAAATGTAGATGTTAATTTTTAATACACTTTCAAACAATAATAAATAGTAAAGTACTCAATAATGTATCCTCAACATATATGTAATATTTAAAAACTTATTTTATTACTTTAAAAATAACACTCAAATATAACGTTTTAGAAATACTTTGCAAAACAAGCTCGTACTTGTAAGTTTGACATATGTTTTGCAAGTGTTAAAATTTCATCAGTACTACCGACGTTTAATATAATAAGATTATGTATTTCTTCATCAAAACGTACTGTCGCCGCCACATGAAAGATTATAGATACCTACAATACAAAAGATTATTGATATTATTATATGTATAAATAATGTAATATAAGTCTCATGTGCTTACTTCACGAATTAAGATGTTCCTGTCATGTTCAGACAACCCTAAGTTTTTGTTATAAAGATCACCGAAAATCGGCACAATTTTATGTCGAAAATTTGGCACTTCTCTCTTTACTCGATCGAATAACTAGTAATAAAAATGTTAAATAAATAAATGATCTCGATTGTACGTTGGCACATATTTATATACTAGTGCTCTTGGCATAAATACATCTATACACAACTCACTCGATTTTCAATTAATTCGTTCAGTCTACTTTCGATATTTTGATCTTTCTTCGGACGTATTAACAGATAAATTTTGCAAATATTGGTACAACTCCTCAGCAATTTTTCAAGTAAGACTGCTCCGATAAATCCAGTAGCCCCTATACATAAAGTAAAATAATAATATAATATGAATAATAAAGGTAATACAGAGTGATTTTTGAAACACATTTGAAAAGTATCTATTTACAAATTTATCAAAGAGTTTACGTGGAAAAATATAAAGCAATACCTGTGATAAAAATAGTTTGACCTGCATAAAATTGTTGTAATGGAGTCTGTCGACTTTTCGTGTATTCACCTTTAATTGTATCCATGATCTATAAAATTAGTTATTTAATGTAACAAATATATATACATATATATATATATATATATATATATATAATAATAAAAAAAGACAAATAAAGATATCGAACATACAAAATGTTATTGATAATACTTATAGATAATAATCATAATTTTTAAGATAAGTTATAAGTGTGTAAACTAGTTATTTAAAAGGTTGATTTTTTTATGTGAAACCAGAGTAATTAAATATATTGAAACTTTCAGTGACAATATCTATCTTTTTAGTTATACGCATATGTTAACAATGTATGCTGAATCACTGTAGGTTACTTATCATGTGTAAGCAGTTATATATGCTTATTTGTATTCGCTATGTATATGTATGTACAATAATAAATGTATATGTATGTACAATAATAAATGTGCTAATATTACTTTTAATCTTTAGATCGCCGGTATGATAAACCGGCCATTTGGCGTCATCAAATGAGGTGTATAATAATTAATGATAATATGCTCGCAATATAAAAAATAGCCTTCTCCATTCTTTATCGACTTTTTTACATAGATTAATTTATAACAGCATTCCAAGAGCTAGAAGTAATATAATTAACAGTTTCAAACTTTACGAGAATCTCTCATAACATTGAACTTAACAATGAAATCTTGGTTTTGTTGGATGTTGTCTCTTTATTTACAAATGTTCCCAATGAATTAGCAATTAATGGTTTAATTAACAGATGATCTTACATTAATAAAAACACTAGCATTCCTTTAGAAGAATTCATTAATGCGATTAACTTGATTTTATCATCAACTTTCTTTACACTCGATAATGTCACATATAAACAAACGTTTGGACTCCCAATGGGATCACTTTTGCCTCCACTAATTGCTGATATTGTTCTACAAGACCTTGAGAACAAAGCATTATATAAATTTAACAAAGTCGTTCCTATTTACTTCCGCTATGTAGACGACATTCTTTTAGCTTCTCCGCCACACATGATTGATTCAATTGTAACCATTTTTAACTCGTTTCATGACAAATTGAAATTTACCGTTGAAAAAGAGGATAACCGTTGCATTAATTTTCTAGATTTATCAATCACGTTTACTGACCGGAAACTCAAAATTGTCTGGTTTCATAAAAAAAACTTTTTCCGGCAGATTTCTATCTTTTCTTTCACATCATCCATTATGCCACAAAAGACGATCTATTTATAGTCTAATAGATCGTGCTTTTTTATTGTCACACCCGGATTTCCATACAAAAAACATTGTTTTAGTCATTAACATCTTACTTGCCAACGGTTATCCCCTAAACTTTATTTTTAATAACATCACTAATAGGATTAGAAAATTTATTTCTAAAAAAATTAACAATTTGTTTGAGATTGACACTTTAGATTCTATTGAAAGACAATTAATTATACTACCTTACATTGACAATTTATCAGAGAACATTACAAAAACGTTTAAAAGAAAAAAAACAATAATAGGCTACATGCTTAAATAGACTTAGTGGATTAATTAAAACTCAAAACGATTTTACTCCACATGAATCAAACATGAATGTAATTTATAAGATCAATTGTAACAACTGTTGTGCATCTTACGTAGGGCAAACGAAAAGACAGCTAAAAACAAGAATAAAAAAACATAAAAGAAATTTTGACAAAATTTCATCAGAACTATCGGTTATCTTCGGACATAGATTGGATTACAACCATTCATTTGACTGAGATAATGTCGAAATTTTGGACATTGAATCTAATTTTTATTTTTTTAACACCTTACATTGCTCATTTAATTGACCTGTCTTATTATTTTTGTTATTTGAGATGTAAAATTTTGTTAAAATTAAAAATACACAGATAACTGTATTTTTGGCTTTTTGTTTGTGTATTTGTGTATATTATTTTAAAATTTCACTTATATGCTTGTATGTATGCATATTTTATACATATATAATGCGGAGCACCATATCGTGCGCCGTGAGGAGAAGCAGTTCTTCTCCAGCCGCCTCCTACTACCACGCACCAGCGGCCCGAGATTTAATCCATATATCGGCACGGTTACCGATGATACATACCGACGCGGTTACCAGTAATACTGACAAGCATATGTTACCATAAAATTATCGCAAACATTGAAAAGAGTAACTCTGCATTAAAAGTGACTTCAATAATTTATATCAAATATTTATTTATTTAATTATTAGCTTTTACGTGATATAAAAAACTTACTTACGGTAAGTGTAAAACAGTAAAATATATTTAAGTAACTGAGTAAAAAACCATGACAATAGATAAATGTTATAGTAATATAGTAACCCAATTATTAAAATATTAAGAAGAAAAAATAAAACACTTCAATAGATTTGTATAATTACCATTAAATTTTCTTTAAAACATCAAAAGTAAAAACTAGTATGGCAATATTATAATAGTTATGTTTATATAAATATATATACATATATAGTTGTATATGAATTTAAAAATTTAACAAAATAATGATAATAACAAATAATGTGTGTGTCTGTATGAAAAGATAAGAAGGATGACACAAACAATTATTTTATATAATTTTAAAGCAGTTACACGAGATTTTATTTTATAGGGTTGCGCTCAAAAATGTTCTTCTGTCAAATATATATTTATGGTTGGGACAAGAACCGTTTAATGTGACTCTGCAAAATACTTTTTTGTGGCTCTGAAAAGAACCATAAATATATATTTGACAGAAAAGAACCATAAATATATATTGGCTTGTTGGCGAGCAACCGCCCGCCCAGCTTGCCCTCCGATCCCGCACCTATTCCGCGATTCAGTGACGCGCTGTGTAAGTCCGTATGCATGTATGTATAAATGTATGCATGGATATAGTTTTTTTTAGTAAGAAAGAATGTTTTGTAGTATATAATTTTGTAGTACACGTTTTATAAAGAAAGAATTTTTTGTAGTATTAAATCAATTTTTAATTTTTTAATTAAAATACAATGCGTGTTGCGCGTGTACTTGGCGTCTTTTTTTAACTTGTTTTGAAAAAGTTAGTTTGTTCGGTGAAATTCTCGTATACATATAAAAAAAAAGGTAAAAAAGTGCGCCAAGTACACGCACAACACGTAATACTTTAAATTAAAATTCTTAACTCAAACTAGTATTTATAAAAAAATTTAGTTTATTTTTAATATAAAACATTCTTTTTCTACAAAACCTACGTTACAAAAGAATTAATATAAAAAAGTAGCACCAAGTACACTTGTATACATTTAAAGAAATTATTAAAAACATTATAAAAACATTATAAAAAAATAAAAAGTATAAAAGTATTATATATGTATCAATAGTTAGACTTTGCTTTTTGTGAAAAGTCGAAATATAAAAAATAATTAAGNCAAAAAAACTTGGCGTGGCTGCACCTCAGTTAGTGAATAAAATGTGTTTGTCATAAACGTGTGCACATGAATCTGATGATAACTAATTAGTAATGCTTTAGTAAACTCTATCTTTTCTTAAGCATTACTGTTGTACATAATAGGTACTTGTGTTTTACTGTTGGANTAGTAATAAATTTTGTAATTCTCATATTCTTTAGCATATTTAAACAAAGTATTATGTACTCCAAGTCAATTATAACAAAGTTTTTGTTTTCATGTGCACATAGACTTAATCGTCAAGGTAAAAATAAAAGATTTAATTTATATAAATACAAAGAAATCCTATGATTAAGGTCAATATCGAGCATTAAAAACAGATGTAAAAAATATATATTAATAAATTATTAACAAAAGTAGATACATAGTATATGTTTGGTGCGAAACGTTTCGACATGCACGGATGTCATCTTTAGTCGCTTAGTACAAAAAATAAAAAAATGGTTGTCTTGAAGTCGTATATAGGTTGATGCGCATACCTTGTGTTAGAAGAATGTTATGTCACATCATAAAATAATCTAAAAGATTGTCACAGTGCATATATGTACAGAACCTCACAGTAAAATACACAAAATTGAAAGAAGCTTACAAGTCAGCAGTAAGAAGTCAAATGCTGGGCAAAGTCAAGAGACAACTTTTGTTAATGAACAAAAGTTTACTTTTGTTAATGAATTTGTAATATATATTTTTTACATCTGTTTTTAATGCTCGATATTGACCTTAATCATAGAATTTCTTTGTTTTTACAACACGAGCNAATTATATTTTATCTTTTAAGTTACGCTGGTCGAAAATGCGTAAACACCAACTTTTCTTTCGTTATCATCGTTATAATTTCAACTATTTACGTTCTACGTTCGATGAACGTGTTAGTCTTTCGTTAAAAGAGTGGATCCATCTTAATTATAAACATATTCGTGTCTTTTCGGATATTGTGTTTTTATCGGAATGTAAAAGTCATAACATATATCCTAAACATATAATAGCTCTTAGTAAACTCACTGTACATGTTTCACATTTCAAAGCTGTCCGTAAACTAAATATCTTACGTAATTCTATTAGAGTTAAACTATTAAATATTGAAAGTTTCGACTTACACAGAACTTTATACAATTTGAGTCATAAATTGTCAACATTGTTCTTTACACTCTCCACAATTTACTTCCACAATATATTTTGAATAATTTAATTAAACATCATACTGCTTTGTTTTTTAATTGCTATAATAGGCTGTTATCCAAAAAGCGTAAAAAACTCGATTGGTTAATTAAACAAAGAAACATTGAAACTAATGACAACATTTTACCTATTAACTACTTTTACTCTGTTTCTAAACTAGATCATATCACTGTCTCGAATTTTTTTATTTCTAATCAATTCTATTTCTAATTTCATCTGTTAACAATAACTTAATAGTTAAGCCGGTTTCAATTTCTAAGAATTTTTTCATTGACAAATCTCCTATAAACCCGTTGGATTTCCATGACAAGAATTGGTTTGTAAATATTTCTGATTACAATATACCTACTCACGTTTCAAATCTATTACAATTGGGAGGAAAACATTGTCTCCCNAATTTGAATAAAAATAAACTTATATATGAATTTATCAAAGACATTGAATATAATCTCAAGGATCACAACTTGAAAACAAAGCCCATGATTAGAAACAGCATAATGCCTAAAGTGAACCATTTTTTTTGTTAACAAATTACTATTATCGAGTGACGATAGGAGTATATCTAATATGTACAAAGCATGTATGAAATTTGTTAAAGAACACCCTAATATTATCTTTATGCGTGCGGACAAAAACAATACCACGATCGCCATGAACAAAACTGATTATGTTGGAAAGATGAGGGACCTNCTAAATGATAAAGATACTTATGAATTGGTGACCCGTAATCCGGTCAAAAAGATTGAATCCAGTCTGAATGATTTGTTGAAGCGTTGGCTCAGTAAGGATTATATTGATCAACGCAAATTCTATTTTTTGAGATCAAGTGACAAAGTATTACCTAAGGCTTATGGCC